ACCCTGCTGGTTATCCAAAACACCGGTGGTATAGCCCTCAGAATCACAGCAACTCAATCCACCACAGCACGACAGACAGACGAGTGGTGGCCGTTTATCGATAGTTTCAGTCTCTGTGGACCTTCTTATTCTGGACATTTCATATAGCTGGAATCAGACAGTATGTATTTTGTGACTGATTTTCTTCACTAAGCATAATGTGAATCATCCATATTATAGTATTATCAGTACTTCATTCCTTTTTATTGTCAAATGATATCCCGTTATATGGATCCCACTTCCACTGAGTTGATTCCCACTCATGGCAAACCTGTATAGACTTTCTGAGGCTGTCAATCTTTAAGGGAACAGAAAGCCTCATGTTTCCCCCACAGAGTGACTGGTGGGTTTGAACTGCCAACCTTGTGGTTAGTTGTTGCTGTTGTTAAGTGCCGTGGAGTCGGTTCTGACCCTGTACAGGGTTTCTGAGGCTGTAAATCTTTATGGGAGTAGAAAGCCTCATCTTTATCCCGCGGAACAGCTGGTAGTTTCGAACTGCTGACTGTGAGGTTAGCAGCCCGATTCGTACCCACTATGCTAACAGAGTTAGTAGTCCAGTGCTTATCCACCAAGGCTCTTAATTGGATGAAATATCAACCTTTACTTATCTACTCACCAACTGATAAACATTTTTGTTGTTTCTCCTTTTGGTCTATTATGAATAATGCTGCTATGATTATTCATGTATACATTTTTGTGTATATGTGTTTTCAGTTCTTTTGGGTATGTATCTAGGACTGGAATTTCTGGATCATGTGATACTCTATGTTTAACATTCTGAGGAATTGCTGCAAATCTATTTCCTATAATGGCTGGACCATTTTACACTCCCACCAACAATGCAGAGGATTCCAACTTCTCCACATCCTCACGAACACGTTATTTCCTGCTTTGGTTTATAGCCACACCAGTAGGGATGAAGCAGGATGATGGACAAATCTGGGCCTCAAATTCTGAGGACACCTTATTTTATACCCTTTTGTTACTATTTCCAGTTTATAGACGTGAAAATGAAAGCAACCACGAATACTCTGTTGAAAGTCTGATAACTATTTAGTGATGAGATACTAAATGGTATTCTGACTTGTAGACAGTGTTCTTTCCACCAGCCTGTTGTGATGTCTGTGACCATTCCAGTCAGGAATCTGGAATTTTTCTGGGCCTGTAGGAATGTTGTTGTTAAATGCCATCAAGCTGGTTCCAACTCAGTGACTCTGTGTAGGGTTTCTAAGGTGTGGCTGGTGAGTTTGAACCACTGACATTGTGGTTAGCAGTCCTGGTGTGGTGCTGTTGGATAGGCAATGGACTGCTAGCCACAAGGTTGGCAGTTCAAAACCACCTTGAAAACCCTATCCAGGGTCTTTATGAGTCAGAACTGACTCAATGACACTTAACAACAATGATGTAACTATAGGGCAGATATCAGGAAGAAGACTACTGGGGCTAATTGTGATGGTGGGTGGATGTGTGAAATATAGCTATCTGTTCCCGGCATCAACTTCTTAAGGCAGTAGACAACTTGGTTCTGCTATGTGTTTTTCAGATCTGGAAGTAGACCCTCTTATTTATGACTTTCTCATCTTCTGAGGTTCTGGTATGGTACTGAATAAGCACTGGACTGCTAACTGCAAGGTTTGTAGTTCAAACTCACCAGTTCCTTGGAAATCTCATACAGGTCACTATGAGTCAGAACTGACTGGATGGCACTTAGCAACAACAACCTTGTCTTCTACAAAATAGACCTCAGCACCTTGAAGGCAGTGATCACATTTTAGTTACCTCTTTATTTACCCTGCTGGCCATAATGCCCTGCACACAGTGGACCCTCAAGTCATATTTGATTAATTAAATTGGACAAATCAGTCAGAATTATAATTATGCTGTTGTTACTTGGCCACTGAGTCCAGTCTGCCATAGTGACCCTATGTATGGGTTTTCAGGGCTGTGACCTTTTGGAAGTAGATCACTAGGCCTGTCTTCTGAGGTGTCTATGGGTGGGTTTGAACCACCAACCTTTCAATGCACCAGTAGGTGAGTGCCACTCAAGGACTCCAGAATTATTATAGAATGAATTTATTAGGAGTTTAAAAGCACTATGAAAAGATGAGATTTAAGTAGCACATGATAAAGCATTTTCTTTATTATACATTCCAATTCATTGAGAACAATATATTTAAGCTTAGGGCTTACATGAATATATTTACTAGCTCAGGCAAAATACATATCAAAATGCTGGCAGAACTGAGGTGTATTGACATATGAAACTTTAGTTCACTTCTAATTTGATAAATGATGTAATTGCCCTGGGCCATCCTTAGCTTCAGACTCCAAATCTACCACATATTTAAAATATGCACTGAATAGTTTTCATTGTCTTTCCCATTAAGAATTTTATAAAAAATCAAAGTATAGAGAAAGACTTAGTAAGAAGTCAACATCATCCTTCATCTCTTTTCTTACTGGTACATTAAATAGACGACCAGAGTCTAACTTTGGAATGGCAGATATTTTGCAGGTCCATTTGGATGAATGAAGAATATTCTAACTTTTCCTAGGACTGACTTCATTTTAAGAACAAACACAAAAGTGGAAGTCCTATATTCTGAAAAAAACAGAGTCACTGAACTGGGGGATTTTCCTTAAGGGACATCTCTGCCATGGATGGATGAGGAGTGTGATGATGCAGTCTTAGCTGACCATATTGGTGTGGAAGCAGGAAGCAGTTTCTTTCATTAGCTGGTTTTGTTCTAGATAAGCTGTAAATTCAGAGGGCTGGTGAGGTCCTTCTTGGGATAGGCCAAGTTAAAACTACTTTGACTGGACATCTCCAGGTGGTTCCCTCAACTCTCTCCTTTGAAGGAGGAATGTCACATGGCTCCTCCAATGGTTTTCCTTATCCAGTTGAGGTGTTTGTTTGTAAGGAGAATGTAGACGCCAGGTTTTTTGGGGTCACCACACTTCCCAAAGGAAGTGACACCTCTGAAAATGTTATCACATATCAGAGGACTTCCAGAATCCCCCTGGAACAGAAAGTCATGCATTTTAAATATAAGTACTTTTCAAAGATGATATATTTCTTCATTCGCTCACTTAATTCATTTCCCTTATTTAAAGGCTAACTCAATATCAATTTTAATGATCATCTTTAATGAATCCTTTTTGGACCAGGGAGCATTTCTTCATGTGGCTCTGTACAATAAGCAGTCAACCATAAGGTCGGTTTGAACCACAAAGTCGGTGGTTCAAACTCACCAGCTGCTTCTTGGAAACCCTAATAGGGTCACTATGAGTTGGAACCGATTTGACAGCTCTTAACAGCAATGGTGGGATTATGTAAGGATTAAATGACATAATGAAGAAGTTGGTAGTTCCTGGGACCTGAAAAATACCGGGTGTCAATATCATTATTGAGAGGGCTGGAAAGTACTTACAAATGGTGGTTAAATGGTATCCTGTATAGGGATTCCGAGGAGCGGCTGGTAAATTTGAACTGCCTATTTTGTGGTTCAAACCAACCTTGTGGTTGAGTGCTTATCCCAGAGTGCCACACCAGGACTCCAGATTACCCCATTGTTGTTGTTAGTATGTGCCGTGGAGTCGGTTCCAACTCATAGCAACCCTGTACAGGGTTTCTGAGGCTGTAAATCTTTATAGAAGCCGAAGCCTCATCTTTCTCCTGCAGAACAGCTGCTAGTTTTGAACTGCTGACCTTAAGATTTGCAACCTGATTTGTAACCACTATGCTACCAGAGCTCCTTAAATTACCCCATTAGATAAGTATTATTATGAGTATCAGTGGTTCCAACTCATAGCAAATCTATGTAGGCTTTCTGAGGCTGTAAATCTTTAGGGGAGCAGAAAGCCTCATCTTTCTCCTATGGAGTAACTGGTAGATTTGAACTATTAACCTTGCAGTTGGCAGCCCAGCTTGTAATTCAGTATGCTAGGGCTCCAGCACTATTATCATCATTATTATTAACACCCCTACTTATCTGTTCTAAGGATCAATTAACACACATTTATCTTTTCCAGTAATTTTCCTTTTGAAGGAGACAGTTTTGGAGAAGATGTGCAAATTCATTTTTCTCAGTAAAACAAAGACATTACTTGTGAAAAAACAATTGTTTCCCTCAGTCTAGTTATGTGCTCTTCTTAGTTAATAGATATTAGGATAAGAAACTGAATATTGGGATTATGGAAAACTTGAGGTGGGATCTCAACTACAGCTAATTCTGACAAAGTACAATAGCTAAGCCATCTCAGGCCAAGAAGTGCTGTTGTTAAGTGCTGTTGAGTCTGTTTTGACTCATAGCAACCAACCCTGTAAAGCGTTTTCAAGGAGCAGCTGGTGGACCTTGTGGTTCACAGTCCAGTGCTGATCCTACCAGGAGTCCAAGAAGTACTTGGTACTATTTCATACAATCTTTCCAAATCCATTCCCAGATCTATCAGCCCTCATTTTGTTTCCTCTCTGACCCTATAAAATTGCCTCTGGGCCAAGAGTTCTAAATAGGTTCAACCCTGGAAAGCCTGTTCTTGGCACAGAAGAGGAAAAACAATATAGGAACTGAGAGTCAGATTGTTGTTGTTAAATGCTGTCGAGTCAGTTCTGACCCATAGCGACCCTCTAGAGGGTTTCCAAGGAGCGACTGGTGAGCTTGAACCACCAACCTTATAGTTCCAACTGACTTTGCAGTCTAACGCATTAACCCACAGTGCCAAGCCAGGACTCCAAGAGTCAGATAGCCTGGGTCAAATCCAGGTCCGCTCTACTTATAGGTTCTTTAAATTAGGAAAATAAATAACTCTCCATGCCTTGATTTCCTGAACTTTTAAGCCTCAGGATAGTACAAACAGGTCATTTGCTGGGTTGCTAACCTAAACATTGGAGGCTCAAGTTCACTCAGAGATACCTTGAAAGAAAGGCCTGGTGTTCTACTTCCGAAAAATCAGTTATTGATAACCCTTTGGGACTCAGTTCTACTCTGACTCACATGGGGTTGCTAGAAGGTAGAGTAGACTTGATGGCAACTGGTTGGTTCAAAACAGGGGTAATAATAATAGGGCTGATCTCATGGGTTATTTAAGAATGAAATGGCATAAGGAAGAACCTAATAGTTCCTGGAATCTCAAAAACACCAGGTGTTGTTTTTATTGCTAGGGTTGGAGAGCATTTAAAAATGAGGGTTAAATGGTATCCTGAAATTATCATTAATAAAGAAGTAATGTTCCCTGGGAGTTCTGGTATGGCCCTGTGGGCTAATGCACCAGACTGCAAAGTTATTTGAGTTGCAAGGTTGGTGGTTCAAGCTCACTAGCTGCTCCTTGGAAACTCTATACAGGGTCACTATGGTTTGGAATCAACTCGACTGAGCAGAAGGATTCACACTAGACGAAGGAGTACATACCACCACATCAGTTCCAGACTGTATTCCCTGTAAATCTTGTACATAAAAAGTAATACTGATTGTCTACCCTGTTCTTCCTGGTAGCGGTGGTTGTGTGCTGTGGAGTCGGTTCCCACTCATAGTGACCCTGTTGAGAGTTTCCATGGCTGTAAATTTTTATGGGAGCAGAAAGCCTCATCTTTCTCCAGTGGAATGACTGGTAGTTTCAAACCGCTGACCTTGAAGTTAGCAGCCTGACTCGTCACCACTATGCTTCAGTTTTAGTTTACTTACTTTGCATGAATCACTTTCACCTTTTTTATCACCAGCACAGATCATGTCGTTGCTAATAATTGGCTGGAAGTTGTAATACTTTGCACCGTTGCATATTTTTCGGTCTATCACAGTGACGTTGACTTCTCGCAAGGTATCCGAAACTCCACACGGGTCTGTTTTGGTGCTTCCCCATCCTGCCACATGACACTTTGTGTTGGGTTTGACGTCTTCTCCTGTTTTTGGTAGTGGAAGTAGTCCGACAGCTTTGTTAATTGTTGCTCTACCTTTCAGCTAGAAAGTAGACAGGAGATACAGGTTTAGGTGAGGACAACAGTGACAAAACCCAGAAAAGATCCCTAATTGGAACATAGACCTTGCTTATTTAGGATATTTTTATGGCTTGCAAGATAGTCCATCTAATTATTAAATTAGTAGTCGACTTAAAAAAAATAAAAAGGCAGCGCACTTTTCCAGATGTCCTTTGCTAGACCAGTCTATGCAAACAATTCAGTTGATTGGTCAGTGGCGGTTTTGTGGTTGAAATGTTGTAGACAGATCAATTGTTATTCAATTCAGATGTTTTTAGGTTTGTGACCCTGCTGATACTGAGACCAATAGAAGCAAACCAGGGCTGAAGTGGTGCGTGGATTCTCCATGTCTGAGTGTGTGCAAATCCACCTGAAGGGTTCATCTGTCTTTAGGTGCTCACTCACCTTCTCTCTTTTCATTCATTTCTCAAGCCCTTTTCTGGGCTTACCACGCTCTCTTTCTGAAGAGTAAAAGCAAGGAGAGTAGGGTCGAGTTTGAGTAGGGAGTTCTTATTGTGTGCCATTGAGTTCATTCTGACAAGCTTAAGGTTTTCTAGGCTGTAATCTTTATGATAGCAGATCACTATGTCTTTTTTCCTGTAGAGCAGCTGGTGGGTTTGATCAGCCTACCTTTTGCTTAGCAGCCTAGCTGCTTAATCATTGTGCCACCAAGCTCCTTCAGTAGTTGGGGAGAGGGAGAAAATTGTAGTTCTGACCTATCTTCTTCCCTAAAACTCACTTTGAAATTCAGAAGATCCTGGTCCTACAGACCTTCTAAAATCACAGGAGTGTGGTCAAACATGGCATGGTCATATTCCTTTCGTTGAATCCTCTCAGACTCATCCTAGAAGACTGTCTCACTACCTCAGGGGCCCTTTTGCATTGCTAATGTTCCCAGCACCCACCATGCTCACATTTAGAAGGCGAAGTGGCCACAGATGACAGTCTTTACATAGAACATGACTTGAAATGCCTATGTGCTCCTTCCCTCCATCTTCCCACTCACACTGTCTCATGACTTTCATGCATGTCCATCTGATTGGATTAATAAGGAGGAAGGAGAAATCCTGAAAGGGACTTTGGGTCTTAATGAGTTGATCAAAATTGAAATATAGGAAGCATATGTTTGTAAGTAACTGTCTTTTCAAGCTCTCTTAGTCAAGCACATAGGGTAGCAATGACCACACAATTAGGGTTTAACCCCAGAAGGTTACCCATGGTGAAGTCCTGACACCCTCTTTATGATTTCTTTGGCAGCATCACACTACTGTCCACAGTGTCAGTGATGATGGGGAGTCCCTGACCCTACTCCAACATCACTGAGCCCTCACCTCTCCTTATCCCAACCACCTGTATGATTAACTATCTAGGCCCTGATGTAGACCTGGCCACTTTTATCACTTGCTTAAAACCGAATCCAGAATCGCTTTTCTTTTTTTATTTATTTATTTTTTATTATATTTTCTGCTGTCTGACTTAACTCCATCCCTTACCAGGTATCAGACACTATTTTAATGTCGACAGACATAGCAGTAAATAAAACAGAAAGAATAATGCCCTAGCCTGTGGACCTTAAATTCCACTGGAGGAGGCAGGCAGACAAATAAAACCTAAAATACGTTAGAGGGTACTATGTGTTATGGAGCAACATGAAGAAGGAAATTGAATTAGGGAGTACCTACTGCATGGGCTGGGGAGCATAGAATGAGGGGAGAGTTACCTCACTAGGAATTAGAGTGTGTGTGTGGGAACACAAAGGGAGAGGCCCAGCCGGACAATCTCCAGCCTCAAATTGTAAGTATTAGGGGGCAGAGCAGGTAGGGGTTTTGCCCAAAGCAGAGCTCTCATGTCTTCTCTAGGGTTTCCATCTTGTTGATGGAGGCATGTAGAGCCCCCTGGGCTTCTTTTTAACTCCTAGAGGTGAAATTCTTCTTCAGTCCTGGACTGGTGTAACAACCTCTGTTCACACTCTGCCTGCCAGTGCTTTCTGCACAGTACCCAGAATGATCATTCTCATAAAGAGTCTGATCCTATCACCACCCTGCTTATAACAGTGTCCCGTTTCTAACTTCTTAAATTTTGCAAGACTTGCTTCATTGTCTATGTTCCTTCCTTTCTCAAATCTCATGGTGACTTTCTGCCCTCTTCCTCCATTTGTATTTTTCAAAGTTAGCCCTTGTATAGCTGTTCTTCCTTCCTGGAAGTCCCTTCCCTTCTTTTCTTCTGGTGGACTCCTGCTCATCTTCTCATTGTCCAGGAAGAATTTTGTTAGCATTTGTTGAACTGAAGTAATTCTCAGAGAAAGAACATCTGTTGAACATAATGTTGGGTCCTAGCTTTCTTTGTTACACTAAGCCCCAAGCATTAGCCAATACTGCTTGTAAAGTTGAGCATGTTAACTCTCTAGTTTCCCATTAAAATGATCAAACCAAAAAAATTTAAATGCTTATAGATTTTTTTTTTTAAAAATACATATTTACCTGAATCAGTTGAAGGTCCCCTTCATGTGTCTGTGGATCATTGCATGGATAGGTAAACGTCTTGTTAAAGGAAAATATTTGCTTAAATTTCTCATTATGGCCTATAGAGTGGGCCCCAAGAATAATTTGAGTGCTGCGTTTTCTGAAACAAACAACAACATATAATTTATGTAAGAGAGTAGATGTAAAATAAAGCTAGGACTTCACTAATTTGTGTCTGATGAGTTCTTCCAAAAGGGTCACAAGTAAGCACAGTAAGACAGGGGGTGCTTATAAAGATTTTTCTCTTTTGATGTTTTAACACTTTTTATCTAAAACTCCTAAGATGTTTGGTATTATAAATTGCCTCAATTTCAAAACATCATTTCAAGGAAAAAGCAACAAGATGGTAATCCTGAGTTATAAAAGTGTGGAGAAGTATGGTTGAGTGTTGCCCATAGAGGGTTACCTGATGGGCAGTGCATGGTGGATGGGGGTGGTGGTGTGGGGTGTGGACAGGGAAAGAAATCCTGCTTATTTCTCCACATGTATTGAATTTGTGGAATAAAGCATTTCCCCTCATGGCCTTCTAGGTTGTTGACACCGAACAGAAAAGATTAAAGTCACGAAGCAAAGTAGATGTAGTGTGTTTTCTTTTCTGTCCTTCAGAGAAATATGGTTCTTTGTTGAAGTCTTCAAAGATGAGAAAGTTCAACCATAGTCATTTTTTTTTATAGGTTGGACTGAAAAAGTTGAACTTTGGTTTTATAGTGAAAATTTAAAGCTGTTGCAACAAATATTTGTGTATACCACACACACACACACAAACACACACACACAAGCAAACAAACTAGGACCAATCCAAATTTAGTTTATGAACCTACTGAAAGTTATTCTGGGGACGGTGGACAAAAGTATTTCCTGATCTACTTGGTTGACTTTGCACCAAGCAGGCAACCACTCATCTGCCATTTTCTCATACTGTGGTGGCTTGTCTGTTACTGTGATACTGGAAGCTATGCCACCAGTATTTTAAATATCAGCAGGGTCACCTATGGTAGACTTTCCCAACTAAGACAGACTAGGAAGAAGGAGAAGCAGACCACTTCTGAATGGTTAGCCACTGAAAACCTTATGAATAGCAGTGGAACATTGTTAGACACAGTGCTGGAATATGAGCCCCCTCTGACTGGAAGGTACTAAAAGTATGACTGGGGAAGAGCAGCCTCCTCAAAGTGTAATTTATTTTGATTATGTGATTGGAGCAAAGGTTTCAGGACTTTCTTTGCTGAAGTGGCATAATTCAAAATGGGAAGAAACAGCTGCAAACATCCATTAATAGTTAGAATGTGGAATATACAAAGTATGACTCTTTGAAATTTGGAAGTAAAAAATGAAATGGAACCTACAAAGATTGATATCTTCGGCATTAGTGAACTGAAATGAACTGGTATTGGCTATTCTGAATCTGACAATCATATGGCTTATTATGTCAGGAATAACATATTAAAGAGGAATGTTATCATGTTCATTATCAAAAAGAATTATTTCATTATCTATCTTGAAGTACAATTCTGTCTGTGATAGAATAATATTCATGCATCTACAAGGAAGACCAGTTATTGCTGCTATTCAAATTTATCAATTTAAATTTATCAATTTAAAGCCAGTAATGATGATATTTGAGGAATTCTAACTTCTTCTGAAATTGATCAATCATGCAACCAAGATGCATTGATAATTACTAGTGGTTGGAATATAAAAAGTTGGAAAGAAGAGGGGGAGAATCAGTAGTTAGAAAATATGGCCTTGGTGATAGAAATGATGCTGGAGATAACGCAATAGAGTTTTGTAAGACCAAGAACTTCTTCATTGCAAATACCTTTTTTAAAACAATGTAAAAGGTGACTGACTATATACCTGGACATCACCTGATGGAATACACAGGAATCACATTGACTACATCTGTGGGAAGAGATGATGGAGAAGCCCAATATCATCAGACAAAACAAGGTCAGCAGCCAACTGTGGAATAGACCATCAATTGCTCATATGCAAGTTCATACTGAAGCTGAAGAAAATTATGACAAATCCATGAGAGTGAAAATATAACCTTGACTATATCTCACCTGAATTTAAAGACCACCTCAAGAACAGATGTGATGCATTAGACACAATGACAAAAAACCAGAAGAGTTATGTGATGATCAAGACCATCACACATGCAGAAAGCAAAAGGTCATTAAAAAGACAGGAAAGTAAGAAAAGACCATAATGAATGTCAGGAGAGAAACTGAAACTTGCTCTTGATTGTAGAGAAGCGAAAGCAAAGGGAAAAATGAGGAAATCAAAGAGCTGAACAGAAAATTTCAAAGTGCGGCTTGAGAAGACAAAGTGAAGTATTAAAATGATCTGTGCAGACCTGGAGTTAGAAAAACAAAAGAGAAGAACACACTTAGAATTTCTCAAGCTGAAAGAACTGAAGAAAAATTCAATCCTTGTGTTGCAATATTGAAGGAGTCCAGTGAGCTCTGGTAGCGCAGTGGTTACGAATCGGGCTGCGAGCTGCAAGGTCAGCAGTTCGAAACTACCAGCCGTTCCGCGGGAGAAAGATGAGGCTTTCTACTCCAGTAAAGATTTACACCCTCAGAAACTCTGTACAGGGTCGCTATGGGTTGGAACCGACTAGATGGCCTTTAACAACAACAACAACAACATGGGCAAAATATTGAATGGTGCAGAAAGCATCAAAAGAAAATAGAAGGAGAGAGCGGTTTGGGGGCGGGAGAAGCAGAGACAGGTAGGGGAGAATCCTCTGCAGAGATGCGAAAAAACCAGAGAAGGTGCTTTCTGGGAGCAGCTCTAGAGATTTTGATCTAATATAAGGTAGGGGGCATCAGTTTTTTTGTGCCCATCGGTGCATAAATCTGACTGTGGCGGGAATATATGGCGATTTCTGAATTGTTTGGGACATTGTCTGTGGGCCCCTCATCCTGGACTGAGCTCAGAGTGTAGGGCCACAGTCAGGCTTATACAGAGCAAAAAGCCATGGAGTGGCATCTGGAAAAAGAGGTGTGACTATTTTTCACTTTTCTTTCCTCTCCCCTATTGCATCCTTTCTGCCCAGCCTGGGCACCTTCAGGCAGGTGAGAGTGCACCCCCCAAAGTGTCCAACGTTGCACCCACAGCTTTTCCATGGCACAGGGAGGAAATCCCTGGGAGCCCCAGCAGTCCCACAAGCTAATCCTTTGGCGGCTTCTTATGACGTCTGACTCTGGGACTCAGCCCTGAAGTTGACCTGGGTGGGACCCTTTATTCTTGCCTTACTTAACAAGAGACAGCAGGTCTGAACATACAGCCAAACCATATGTGCACCTTGTAAAACCCCAACATAAAAAGCAAGAGCCAACACCAACTACTATATACAAGGACACAGCTATTTTTAGAATTATGCTGTGCATGCGCAGATACCTAACTGACCTTCAGAGATAAAAACGGTGGACAGTCTTTCTTCCATTCATTTCTCAACATCTATCTGCATACCTCCATGGTGGTGACTAGAGAATGGGCCTGAGTGAGTGTACACCCCTACCCACAGCTGGAGGTTTCTACTGTGCATGCACAGTGACCTGCGCAACAAAGGCTACTGGACAGTTGGATACAACTGTATCTGCCTATGGAGACATATATAAAATCCTAAAAGAAAAAACTGCCAACCAAGAATCATCTATCCAGCAAAACTGTCAATCAAATATGATGGTGCAATCAAAATATTCCAGGATATACACACGCTATATCCTGAAATGTTTTGATTGCACCATCATATTTGATTGACAGTTTTTGTCAAAAAGAGATTTTGTCAAAGCCAATCCAGCACTTCAAAACATCATAAAGGGAGTTTTTTGGAATGAAAACCAACAAGAATAGATAAGAACCAGAGACTGACAGATGTGGCAGCACCACTTGGAACTCATTCAAAAGATAGCAGCGTTGAACAGAACCTAAAGCTACAACAATGAATTCAGAGGACCTGCTAGGCCAATCAAAGATTAAAATAATAACAATGTCAAAGAAGGGAAAAATATAGGAACAGCTATCCAGGTGGTGAGGAGGTCATGTAGATTGCAGGATAGAATAGACTGTCATAAATGGAGGGAAAAGTTAATAGACTAGAGGGTAACCTCAAAGAAAGTTAATACTTCATAACAGACCATGAAAATGAAGACCCAAGCAGAACAAAGAAACATTAAAACTAAGAATAAACTGACAAGAAATAGCACAAAAAACATGAACTCAGTATAAGAAAGCATGCAGAGCAAAGGAACGAACAGCCCCACAAAAATTAACATAATGACAGCAATTAATTCATACCTATTGATAACTACACTGGTTGTCAGTGGATTGAATGCACCAGTGAAGAGACAGAGAGTGGCAGAATGGATAAGAAAGCAAGACCCTTCAATACGCTGCCTGCAAGAGACACACCTCACATACTGACAAAAACACACTAAAAGTTGTGTCGAGTCAGATCTGATTCACAGCGACCCTGTATAGGGTTTCTGAGGAGCAGCTGGAGGGTTTCAATCTTAGTTCTTTGTATATTATAATAGAATATAATAGTGAATACTATTGAACTAAGGAGCTCTGGTAACGTAGTGG